TCATTCAAAAGTACTTATCTAGCTACATATATTATGTGTATGAGCTTGATGATATATCTGTTCCTGACCATATGAGTATTTGGACCATACGTGTATGGTCATGACCATATCAGTATACTCATATGGTCCGACCATATGAGTATGGTCGGACCATATGAGTATATACTCATTTGGTTATTAACGAGCCGGACCATATGAGTATCTAGACAATATAGGTATTTCTAAAATAAATTCTAACTTCTTTCATAGGAACAAGGCTTGTTCTATAAATCCAAATGGATACAAGTTACTAACTCTCACTTTACTAATGTGTTCATGTTCTTGTTATACAATTTATTTCCCACATAAGAATAGAGGGGCAATACGTTTCAACTACTGTTATTGTAAAATTGTATAATCAAAATAGGAGCATACACTTCATTGACCTAAAAATTATATGAAGAAAATTAAGATTTAAAAAAAAAAAAAAGGGTTCACTGACATAACTGCAGATGAGTAGAATAGTTGATTTCTTGTTTAAACTGCATGAGTAGAACAGTTGATTTTTTGTTTAACAGTTCATTTAGATATTTTTTAAGTTTTTTCGGTGTCGACATATTGTGTTTCGTGAGGAAACATCAATCATGACCATGGAAAAATGCATTTATTATAATTTAAACTAAGTGAAATATTTAATTTATTTCATTAATCATGTAACAATGATTATCAAATGACAGTGGCCATGGTATTTTGACCCCCCCTGCCATAGTATATTGAACCCCTACTACAGACCTCTAATTTCAAAAAAATTAGCTATTCTTACTCCTTTGCATAGTAATAATACTCCAATAAATAGGTGGAATGTATTAAACTTGTTAGAAAAGATGTTTGGAAAATTTTACTTAGCCATGGTATTTTGAACCCCTGCCATGGTATATTGACCCCCTACTATAGACCTCCAATTTCAAAAATTTTAGCTATTCTAACTCCTTTACATAGTAATAATGCTCCAATAAATAGGTGGAATGTATTAAACTTGTTAGAATAATGTTTGGAAAATTTTACTTAGCCATAGTATTTTGACCCCTTGCCATGGTATATTGACCCCCCCCCCCTTTATATACCTCCAATCTAAAAAAAAATATAGCTATTCTAACTCATTTACATAGTTATAATACTGCAATAAGTAGCTGATATGTATTTAACATGCTGGAAAAGATATTTGGAAAATTTTACTTAGCCATGGTATTTTGACCCCCTGCCATGGTATATTGAACCCCCTACTATACACCTCCAATTTAAAAAAAATCATAGCCAACATATTGTACATTAGGTAATCTGCAATACTATCTAAATCAGGGGGGTTCAATTTTCCATGGTGGGGGTTCAAAATACCATATAGGAACAAGAGTGCACATGCTGAAATGTCTCGCCTTCTTTACTAACCATTGATTTTATGTTGATAGTCCTAAATATAAAGCTTTACTACAAGTAACACATAAACTTAACATGATCCAAGAAAATGAGGTCAAGGTCAGATAAACCAAACGAGAAGTTCATGTACACCTTACAATCATTCAATAAACCAAACATAGTTGACCTATTGCTTATCGTTTCTAAGAAACAGTCTTAACCAAGAAAACTTAACATTGACCAGTGAACTATGCCAGACAGACATGTACACCTTACAATCAATGTATGCATCAAATACAGTTGACCTATTGCTTATAGTATCTAAGAAATAAAACTTAACCATGAAAACTTAACATTGACCAATGAACCATGAAAATGAGGTCAAGGTCAGATGATACCTGCCAGACAAACATATACACCTTACAATCCTTCCATACAACAAATATAGTTGATCTATTGCTTATAGTTGAAGAAAAACAGACCAAAACACAAAAACTTAACACTGAGAAATGAAATGTGAAAATGAGGTCAAGGTCAAATAAAACCTGCGAGACTGACATGTACATCATAAAATATTTCCATACACCAAATATAGTTGACCTATTGCATATAGTATTAGAAAAAAAGACCAAAACTCAAAAACTTAACTTTGACCACTGAACCCTGAAAATGAGGTCAAGGTCAGATGACACCTACCAGTTGGACATTTACACCTTACAATCATTCCATATACCAAATATAGTAGACCTACTGCTTATAGTATCTGATATATGGACTTGACAACGAAAACTAAACCTTGTTCACTGATCCATGAAATGAGGTCGAGGTCAAATGAAAATTGTCTGATGGGCATGAGGACCTTGCAAGGTACGCACATACTAAATATAGTTATCCTATTACTCATAATAAGAAAGAAATTAACATTACAAAAAATGTTGCCCTTTTTTTTCAAGTAGTCACTGAACCATGAAAATGAGGTCAAGGACAATGGACATAGGACAGACGGAAACTTTGTAACATTAGGCATCTATATACAAAGTATGAAGCATCCAGGTCTTCTAGCTTTCAAAATATAAAGCTTTTAGGAAGTTAGATAATGCAGCCGTAGCCGCCGCTGCCGCCGGATCACTATCCCCATGTCGAGCTTTCTGCGACAAAAATGACCCTGGGGTCAAAATACCATATGGTATAATGACCCTGAGTCAATTTTCCATATAATATTTTGACCGCAGGTTCACTTTTCAGGGAGTTCAAAATACCATATGACACCGATTTTAGGTGATGTTCCTATTGCCTAGTCTTTACTTTTGTATACTGTTGTTTGTCTTTTCGTTGTTTTTCATCTTTTGAAATGGCATTGTCAGTTTGTTTTCAACTGAGATTGAATATCCCTTTGGTATCTTTCACCTCTCTTTTAAAGTATGATTTGGGTTTTTTTTCATGTTGATTTCATTATGTTGATTTGGAATTTAATGGTCCTTTGTTTTACAGAAAAATGTCCAAATCAGTTACTTTAGAATATGTTTAAAAGGTGATGTTGGGTAAACCAATCAATCAAACAAAATATCACAACTTTATAAAAATAGTAAAATAAGCATGTTCTAGTAATTATTTTAACTTCATATAATTTTCACACCTTTTTATGGGAAAATTTCGTTAATGGGCCCATGAAATCATAAATTTTCATAGATGGTCAGGTGTAATATAAAAATGAAAGCCACACATATTGTATCCCAGCAGATACTAAATTGCTTTAAACAATAGTAATCTGAGTAGAATATTCACAGTAGATTCAAAGTTTGACAGAAAATGAACAAACAAATAATATGATACCAATTGATTAAAAAGTAAATTTCATCACTTTTATCTCCAATTATGAGTCATCGAAGAAAGCATTTCTATTCCTCGTGTGCTGTTTAATTTAACAGTTCCTTTAATTTATTTGGATCGAAATATTTCCCCTCCAAAATTCATGTGCACGCCCAGGCATTTTGAAGTTAATGCAGCTATGTGACTGAATGATTAAATAAGTCAGATTTCACTTTTAAAGTTCTTAATTTTTTGACACCTTGAAGGGTGCAATTAACAGTAACTGTAACTGATCAACGTTTATTGTATTAATTAACCGGACCAATATGAGTATATACGCATATGGTCATGACCATACGCGTATGGTCCAAATACTCATATGGTCCAGAACATATCCAATTGAAATGTGCTGTTACGGAAACTCTGAATTTAAATTTTGATATTTATTGTCGGTGACTGATTTTATTGCACAAAAATACATTATGAATCAAGTGCGCTTCAAAATTCACATTTGAAACGACCCCTTTCATTTTACCTGTCAGTCGGTGTAAACAGTCGTTACAGAGACTTTCCGTAATTCTTTATTAGCAGTAGGACCACTTTATTTTGTGTATGGAATGATTGTAAGGTGTACGTGTCTGTTTGGCATGGTTCATAAGATTGTGGCCTCATTTTCATAAAACATTGATAATGTCAATTTTATTTGATAGTTGTAGTAAAACCTTCTTATTACAGACAATCAACATGAAGTCAATGATAAGTAAAACAGGTGAGACATTTCAGCATGTGAACTCTTGCTTTTGTATCCAAATTATTTTTCCAATTTCACAGGGCCCACATCAGCCCAATGCTACAGCCAATGAAAATAGGTGATCACCAGATCAATTAATTCTGATTAATAAAAGTGACCATGTTGGTCATTTTAAATATATTGCATTATATCATTTCAGAGATGAAGATATATTGAGATAGTCTACTTACTGGCCATAGTCCACGGATCAAATTTCAGAAGACCCATCAAATGACCATTAAATTAACATTTGATCACAAATGGACAGCCACTGAAGAGAAAATGACCAATAATAATCTTTTGCTTAAATCCTTTGTACTATATTCTTTTACAGCAGCCATTTGGAAGCACCTGATATAAATTTGACACTGAACACATTAAGAGTGATTAATGCCTATGTTGGTTTCATCAAGATGATATTTGATAGTCTATGTCAAATGTATTCACAACTTTCTCAAACTGATGGCTTTGATAGCCAAGTGCTCTTTAATAGTAGTTCATGTACTGTATCACTAGCCTTTCAACACTTAGATTATGATTTCGAACCCAGCATGATGCAGGTGCATTCAACTCCAATCTTAATTGACAACAATTGTCAGTCTTCCTGCAAAAGGTTGTGGTTCTATGCTATTCCTGCTTCCTCCACCGATAAAACATGATGCCCACGACATGGCCAATAGTGCTGAAAGTGCTGATAAACACAAAAAATCAATCAATCATCTTAAGACTGCAGTCCATTTAGAGCTTGGTATATTTTTTTAGGCACCTGTCTACTGTTTAGACTCTACATTGACACTGAAGTGTGTTTTGGTTTTTTGTTGGGTTGATGTCTAATTGATGTATACCTCACATCTCTTTTTGTTCATTTAAAAAAATTGCTTATAAAGGCAGACAAAGTGGAGACAAAGTGGAGACAGCAGTTAGATGACAATAGACCTGAAGCGATGACAAATGTTGACATCAGCCTTATAGCTTTGCAAATGAGTAAAACAGAAATAAATATACAGGCTACTGGAAGAATATTTTATTATAAATATAAACTTTTAAAACTATCTCTTTCATTTAAATATTATATTATCAAGCCTCCATTGTAATATAATATTTGTATAATTAACAAAAGCTCATATATAACTTAGCCTATATCAGCAATAGTTGTATAAATTTACAGCACTATAAATATCTTATTTTATAAAATGTACCATATAGGACCTCTCCATTTATATAGTGAAATGTTTCTTTCATGTAATATATGTCATAGTTCATGATCAACAAAGAAGATGAAATTGTATTTAATTCTATCACAGCTCTGATTAACAAAATTCATATAAAAACAACCTGTCTCTATCTATTACTTTGAAATATACTGAAATCCAGCAACAGAAAATGTTCATTACAAGTGCTATTATATGTTCAAATATTTGATAATAATTTTTTTCAACTAAACATTAACATATTTGAAATAAAATAAGAGCTAACACTGGTAATAAATTTGAATATAAAGGCCAAGGCCATGAGAAAATTTCAAACATCAATATCTTGCATGAATTATTTCTTAAATTTATTATGTATAAAATCTTTCTTAAATTGATTCATACATTGAATTTAGTATAAAGTACAGCAATTCATCAACTAATGAATTAAAACCTATGGCTGTATAATTAACTTGATGTAAACATAGGAATTTTATAAGCATATCTTGATATATTTAGAGTTATCCTCCATTAAGATTAAGAGTTGTCTCCCATACACTTACATCTCTGAATCATCATATTGATTCTAAAAGATTGAAAGACAAATTAAAATTGATTAAAAAGGAATTTGAATTTCTGTATGATCATAAGTATTGTAATGTACTTTTTTCTATACATTGTTGATTAATACATTATGGAATTTGCCATTTACAAACTTGGCTGCTTATTTTCTAAGTTTACATGATTAGGCATTTTATCTATATAACTAAGGGATGTTTACCATTATAGTAATTTGAGGGATTATTTTATTGTTAGTGGAGAGTTAAACATGTTAAAACAGTCAATATGGATCAAATTATTGAACTTATTGTCAATGAAGAATGTTAAACGCAGTAGTCAGAGGAAAAATGTACATAACAGACATACTAATTGTTAAATTATGTATCATTGTCATTTTGCTTAGTTTCTTTTGTTACCTATTCTGACATCGGACTCGGACTTCTTTTAAACTGAGTTTTACTGTGCATATTGCTATGTGTTTCTTTATTCTACATTGGCTAGAGGTATAGAGGGAGGGTTGAGATCTCAAAAAACATGTTTAACCCGCCGCATTTTTGCGCCTGTCCCAAGTCAGGAGTCTCTGGCGTTTGTTAGTCTTGTATGATTTTTAATTTTAGTTCATTTATATGTTTTGGAGTTTAGTATGACGTCCATTTTCAATGAACTAGTACACATTTTTATTTAGGGGCCAGCTGAGGCCCACCTCTGGGTGCGGGATTTTCTTGCTGCGTTGAAGACCCATTGGCGGCCTTCGGCAGTTTTCTGCTCTTAGGTTGGGTTGTTGTCTCTTTGACATATTCCCCATTTCCATTCTCAATCATATACAAAGTAATAAAGGACTAGAATAGAAGTGAACATTGTCACACAATGAAATAAAGATTAAAAGATGACCTGGCAGTAGATTGAAAAATCTTTATAGGTGAATGAGTAAACTTCTTAATTTGACCCCAAAATAGTAAGTCAGTTGACCAATATAGATCCAAATACAAACACAAAAAAAATCACATTTATCCAATAAAGATGTTATGTTGTAAATCAATATTGGTTCAAGTATACAACATATATACTTCCATTTCTAAATCAAGGTCATTTTATTTACAAGAAAAACTGTTTCAACAACATGTATACATTGAATATACAATATGATTGGTCCCAAAAATGTTTTTTTCATCATGAAATTTTAAAATAAAACTTTTTACTTGAAGTCAATTATCTGAATATTATATAATGCAGGATACTCCCAAAATGACAATTTTGTTGCCTGACAGGAATTTAGATAATAAATAATTGATTCATCTTAACTTGCTTGTGACTTAAAAACAAAATGAACAAGTCATGAATATTTATTGGTCTACACTAAATTTGATGATGCCTGATAAATATTGCAGTTTTTGGACCCTTTATAAAAACATTAGATCAAACAATACGACATCAGTGGAATAACCAATCATCTTTGAGCTTAATGGTTCATGTGACATTATTTGATATGTAAATGACTGATTCACACAGTTTTATTGCATTATTGCATGTTTCCATTTTTATGTTAACGTACACACTCCAAATTGAGAATTCTCATGTAATACCATGTAATATAAATGTTGATGGAAAAAATTTTTACATAGGAGGAAAGTGAGTAGCCTGTAATTCAGTGGTTGTTGTTGGTAATTTTCAAGATGTATTTTAAACAAATGCTTTTAAAATTCATTGAAATCAAGCAGTCTATATTATGCCAAGCTTGAACAAGTTGGTCTGTCTCAAAGCAAAAGATTGATTAACAAAATAATTAATCTAAACTATAAAACATTTACAGACAAAATATGGCTATTTAAATATTTTAAGAAATAAGATTTCTAACATGTTTTTAAAAAGGTCTTTAAAGAAACAAACATACAAAAATAACTTGAAACAAAAAACAATCAGTAATTTATTCTTAAACAAATAAAACATAAGTGATTGTCTTTCTCTTTAAAACATCTCAATTATATCATAGCTGACAGAAAAATTCCATATTACAAATTTCATGATCACACAATATCTTTTTCCATTGACTGAATAATACAAAGCAACATATATATTTATTCACAATGATCACAGCCTTGATTTAAATCCTACATGTTTTAAAGCTTCTGATAATGCTCTTAGGACACGATTAACATTGTCAGGTGTAGCATTGTATCCCATGATTCCTATTCTCCAGATCTTTCCTGCCTGAGCTCCTAGACCTCCCGATATCTCTACCTTATATCTAACAAAAAATAAAAATTAACAGCATTTGATATGCAAATTTTTACATAAACTATCTGTTTTTAATGTGTACGGCAATATAAATATCATGCTTGGTATCTGACAGATTAATAATGTCTTTTAAGAATAATGTTATTTGGCAGATTTACAATACTTTATGATTTTAACATTTCAGGGGCCATACGTACTTCATAAATATTCACTGTATTATTGTATAAAAAAAAGTCTAAAGCTATCATAGAGTAAATCAATACATCTTTCAACTTTAATAATGATAAAAAAAATCATAATTCAGAAAAGATCTTACTGATTCATGGCATAATCTGCTACTTCTTTCCAATTAACACCAGGTGGCACTTTTACACCAGTAACACATGGAAGACGGACAGACTGAAATTGATACAAACTTTAATCATTCTAACTTTTATAAAATGTAAGATATATTGTCAGATATAGTTATTTTGTTTTTACAGAAATGTCCCACATTTCATTTACATACATCAGATGACCAGTCTTACAGACGGAATGGAAAAACTAGAGGGGCATTGTATGTCCTTGGCTATATGTTGTTTGTACATATGATCTTCATCTTCCTTTTGGAAACTGACATTGCTACTATATGCTATGGGTTTTTCTCATTGTTGATTGCAATAAGAATGCACAAGTTGTTGTGGTAAGCATACCCCCACTATAAATGATCTAGTACCTGAAATTCAGAAGTAGGTGTCTTACAGATCCAAAAATCTCACACAGGTTACTTCTCATTACTATTGAGCTGCTGACCATATATGAGAGTTCAGTAATTTATGTGAAAAGTGTGACAAAAAATTTAAAGTTCATTCAACATATTGAAAAGTTCAAACTATCAGCAAATTAAACAGTAAGTAGGTATCTGACTGACCCGAAAAGTCCTCACATGCTACAACTAATCACTGCTGAGCTGCTGACCAAACACGAAGTCATTCTGTTCAAATATTTGTTTGCCAAATAGACTGACTAACCCACAGACAAGGTGATTGCAATATAGGGCAACTTTTAGAGTGGGGGTAAAATAAAGTGACTGGTTACATTTTTTCCCTTTGGACTTTGTTAGATAGTTGTTTCATTGGCAATCAAACCACACCTCCTTTGTTTTTATATTGTTGTTCTGTTGTGATAACCTTCTCACAGAGTCATCTTGCACTTTTTCTTTGAATTGTGTACATGTGTGTCAAATCTGAAACTGTGCAAAAGTTAATTTTTCTTTCATTTGTATATCTATGTAATCTGTAAGTTTTCCAGTTTGCTTAGAATCTGGTTAGAATGCATTAAGGAATAGCAGTACTGTAGTTGAGGTGTTGCCGCTATCAATCAAGATTTGACTGTTTTACCTACAATTGAAGGCGGCAACTCTTCAACTACAGTACTGTTATTCCTATTCTTAATGCATCGCAAAAAGAAATAGTACATTAAAAATTATAACAAGAGTGCACACACTGAAATGTCTCCCCTGTTTTACTGACCATTGATTTTATGTTCAAAGTCTTAAAGATAACGGTTTTCCAAGTATTACATAAACTTAATATTTTTAAAGATCCATGACAATGAGTTCAAGGTCAGGTAAATCCTGTCGGACAGAAATTTTCACCTTATAATTATTCCATACACCATATATAGTTGACCTATTGCTTATGGTAAATGAAAAATACCTTCTGAAATATAAAGCTTTATACAAATGGTTTACACTGCTGCTGATGCTGTTGTAAAAAAAATAATCCCTAAGTCTTGCATACCTGACTTTCATGGCAGGTGAGACAAAAATGTATAAATCTAAGATAATATAAAATTCTGTGGGTCTTCATGAATGATTTCAGCACATAAACATCATGGCAAACCATGGCGTCATACAAAAAATAAACTGCTTTGCCTAACGCAGCTGGATACGACCGCAGAGATCCAACCCTGATCATTTGGGGCAAAAATGGACACAATATTCAAGCTTGATACAGGTCTGAATTTGGATTGTAATTAAATATTTGACACATTATAGGTTTCTGACACAAAATAAATGTAGTCAAAGAACTTAAAATTGGTTATATGATTTGAATTTATATTTAATTGAAGATTTCTTGCTTTTGTGCAATACACTGTGCTGTTGAGCAATACTTAGTAAATCTGTTTTCAGACTATATACAAAGAATTAGCAAAATAAATTGTGACCCCAATTTTTCTTTGGAAAATTGACAATTTCTTAAATCTTGAGGGAAAAAAATTGCCTCCCCTCCAAAATTTTTTTTTACCCCCCCCCCCCCTTTTCCTCATTCGAAAAAAATAACGTTTGAAGAAATTTTTTATTTGCAAAATGTGGTACAATTTAAGAAAATCAAAAATCAATACACTAAAAAAGTTTAATAACACAAGTTGTTGCCTGAAAATAAAACAATTGCTTGTTTTAGACCCTTTTTGGCCCCTAATTCCTGAACGGTTTGGGCAACTACCCCCAAAATGAATCCCAACCATCTAATTGTGGTATTGAACCTTGTTGTACAATTTCAGAGCAATCACAATATGTATACACAAGTTATTGTCCTGAAACTAGAAAAATGCTTGTTTTGGGCCCCTTTTGGGCCCCTAATTCCTAAATGGTTAGGACCATCATCCCAAAAAACAATCCCAACCTTCCTTTTGTGGTATTGAACCTTTTGATTAAATTTCATAGAGATCCATACCAATAAACTTAAGTTATTGTTCGGAAACAAAATGTCTTCGGACGACAATGATGCAGATGACAATGATGTCATGATAGCATTATATGACCCCAAAATATTTTTGCGGTCCTATAAAAATGCTCAAACCTTAGACTATTTCTTTACTTGTGCGATTCAGATTTGGATAATATCTCATTAAAACAGTGTTTTTGAGGCAGGTGTTTTATTTTCGATTATATTATATTAATCTAACAATTGTTGATTACAACAATTCAATATGGCAGATCAAGGCATGTCATTTGTGGATTTGACAGAAAATTTGAGCTAGCAAAATAAATGGAAAATGTGTCCATGGGACACAGATGATGGCCCACTTGCATATCACATTATAAAGAGGCACAACTTGAGAACGGTAAAAGTGACACCACCCATATTGGAACTTGATCTGGGTTTTGTGGTAATAAGCATTGTGTGTAAGTTTCATAACATTTTGTTGAGGCAAACTTAATTTAGAAAACGAAATACGTTGACAGATATAAGGACGAACAAGGGTAGCACTTAATGCCCCCTCCTGTGACAGCAGGGGCATAAAAATTGTTACATAAAGATAGAATAAGAATAAAAATTTGATTTGAATTTATCTATAGTATTAATTTTACCTTATCTTGAACAAAAAGTTCCAAACCCATCCTCTCTACTCCTTCATGTAACATCTCAGCACATCTCTTGTGAGTAACCCAACTATTTTCTAAACCCTAGAAAAGAAAATTTACCATTACAAATGACAATTTGCAATACATAGTATCCAATATTGTGTATATTATAAGTTTACGTAATGTTTCAAACAACATTACTTCGAAATAATCTGAACTTTAAAGAAATTTTTCATTCACAAGTGACATGAAATTCATATAAAATTATCCTTATTTTTATCCATCAACAACAAGCAAAACATCCCTCAAACTTCATTGTCAAAACACGCTGAAAAATCTTCAATTCCATTTCATAGCTTAATACTTTTTTCTTTCTAAATGAAACTCCAAACATGCAACACATAAACATAATTTTTATTTTTTAACTCCTTTATATTATATATAATTACTTCTTCTACTAGTCTGGAAAATCCTTCTCTCAATGCATAAACACTCATTATAGGGCCTGTGTGGTGGTATCTGAAATAATAATAACATGTATGTCTCTTGATATTTTTACTGTTTAAAGACAGACTGACTGAACCAAAACCTCCTAAATTTCGTGTTGGAAGAGTTCCATTAAGTGGATACCAATGGTATGCAGGGATCTCAAAGAAAATAATTAAATACCGCTAAAATTGACAACATTTTCCTGATATTTAACGCTTAAGTAATCTGCATCTTTTAATGGTTGACTAGTTTTGCTGATTTGATCTCCGTCTTCCGAACTATTATGATTTATTATTGATAAATACGCAGATTTCTATTCTGGTCACTTTAGGGTGAAAAGGTCACTTGTGATATCATAAACACACATCAAAAAGATGAGAAGAATTACAGGTTACTCTAAGGCCATATGGCAGCTTTGTTTTTTTTATTCAAATAAATGGATATGAGGAAATTTTATAGAGGGCTTTACATACATTAATCCTGTCATCCAGTGATTTAACTTGAAAAGTCAGGAAGAGCCCAACCAAACAGAAATAAGATTTGAATTGGTATGCGAGAGATTGAACTTAAGTACTGGTAAAATAACAAATTCCTTTGTATTCCTTCGTATATAAATATATAAAAGGCTGCACAAGTATAATAAACAAATATGCAAAAATATATTACTTGTCATAACACCATTATCATTATCAAATATCATGTCTAAACTATGAGTTATTGATTTTGAATGGGCTCTTTAAGTTCACAAATCCTAACAACAATGTATTCAAATATTTTGAAAATTGAATATAAAGTCAAATTATAGATTAATTGTGCATGGGCAGACAGAAAGAAAGACAAGCAAATGATGAATAGGTATTAAAATAAATCAGAAAATAATCATTTTAAGTTGTCCATAAATTATAAAGAACCCCCCATTATCATCTAGACGGAAGTTATTTTTATTGTCTACAGCATTCACAGGTTAATGAAAAATCACTTAGATAGGTTTCAATATGATGCAATTTGAGTTTGAGTTACTTTCCTTGGCCACCATTTTGGAGGTGTAAATGGTTGATTTTCCTATTTGACTATTAAACTAAATTGAAACATACAGTACAAACAAGTGTGATTAAAGATCTTTACTAGATTGAAGTGATGAATCAAGCATGGCTAAAAGCAATCAAAATTGTGAACATTTTCTAAAGTCTAGCAGTCAGTATAACAAGTTTATGAAGGAATTTGTGCAACATGTGATAAAAGGGAAGTAACCCTTACTCAAATTGTGAAACCTACACAAATGTATCTATATACAGGTACACACCTTCTAGCACTGTCCTCACATCCCCAATAGTTTGATAGGTGATTCATATCAAAGTAGAATGATCTAACTGGTGTCTTCCTCTTCAGTACCTTCTCTCTGCAAGAAAATTTGTATTTTTAAAACTGAACTGGTTGAATTTTTATTTGACTAATCGTTGTGTCTAACCAGAAATCATGTCATGCTTATCGAAGACAATTTGGCATAATTGAATTTGATTAAAAATAACAAAAAGTGGAAGTGTAGGTATTGATTAATTGTTATTGAATTTCCTTTCCTTTTATTCTTATAATTTTTCTCTAACATTAGCAATGATTCATCTTAAATAAACTGTTATTACACATCAAAATAGCTTACAAAATATGCAATACTGTGGATTCATTTATTTATGTGGGTACCAATTTTCGTAGATTAATGAAAAATTGTATTTTCATGGATATTTGATTTTGTGGTCTTATAAGTATGCATACAAGCGTATATAAAATTTGTTCTTCCGTGAATATTGTCAGTGATTGTTTCTATCTCTTTACTATTTCCGTCTTTAGTATTTTTTGTATTTATGTCAGACATTTGATTGTCCCCTGAATTTATTCACAATAGTAGACTAGTGCAATTATGACTTTGTTATACAGTTGGTGCTTGACCATCACTGAAGACAATAATGATGACCTCTAGAATATATTGTTTTAGTTAACTGTTGTTGTGTTGCTGTCTAATGAATGTTTACGCTATCTCTTTTTATTCCCACTATACGATGTTCTTTGATCTTGATTTGGACATTTTGATATATATTCGGAATCCTCTGGTTTTATCTGTGCCATCAAAAATTTTGCATCCTAATCCTTCTTTTCTTTTATAAATTTATTACATATAGTTTAAGAAGCCATTTTTGAAATCTTATGGAATCCTCAATATTTTTTAATAGTTTTTGAAAGAAAAAAGAGGGCAATGTTAATTGTATGAAAAATCTAGAGAGAATCATTTTCTGCCAAATTTTCAATGGCTTATATCTCAAAAACAAGGACATGAACTTTTCATTTTTTTCAGCTTTTCTTGTTTGGTAATTTACATACATGTACTATCAATTTATAAAAGTCTTTTAAAAAGCTTGTTATTTTGAAACAGAGCAGTCGACATCCTTAATTTGATCCCACTGCTAAATATGAAATGTGTTGTTACTGAAGTGTAGAAAAGAGCTACTTGTTAATTGAAATCTATGTCTATCAGTTCAATGTATTGTTGGGTTTCTGTCTAATTGATGTATATCCCATATCTACTTTTATTCATAAAACAAGACTACATAACAAAATTGGCCAAGTAACATTTTTAAAATTTAACACATGTGATACTCAAGGTTGATAATCTTTGTTATGAGGATGCCATCAATTTTCATTTTTTTAAACGCATGTTGTTCCACAAATGAGAACTGCCTCTTGTCTCTTGGTTAGAAGTATGCTTGCCTGAAATTCAGACGAATGAAGATTTGATTCCCATATAGCTGAAATCAAAACAGCTTTTTCTCAACAGCACGTTTCATTCAGGAGTAAATTAAAAGATTGTTTTAGAATGGTTTCAAAAAAATATGTCCACATAAGGTTGCTTTGTGACCTAGCAAAGTAAAAAATCTGATTCTAAATGTCTGTCTACTACAAAGTGTCATATTTTCTCTGATGCAATCATCCTTCTAACTTAACAAGCAAATCAGATACACAACTTACTTTCCTTTTTCTGAAAATGATATTGGACTGGCTCCTGGTGGTGCACTTAAAACTTTCTGGGAACCAGTGTATATACAGTCAATTTCTACAGAAGAAATAAAATTCATTTGTTAAATGGATCTAATTCTAGTGGATCTTTTATGTTAAAGCAATCAAATAACAAAATATAAGACTTTATTTAATCATTTTGTTTTTAAAATGCACTAGATCAAAGTCAATTCCAATTAATTTCATTATGTTTTTTAGCTTTAATAATTTTGCAGTCTTTTTATTTTGATTTTTAAAGAATGATTAGATGACTGAATATAATTTTTTTTTAAATCAACTCTGAAAATTAAGCAATTACTAAAATATTTCTACATTCTTGTTCAACTTTTCAAAATTGAAACTAACATGCAGTATGTAATTCTTTTTTGTACATTTTTGTGATTAAAATTATATGCTCCAATTTTATTTTAATAATTTTACATAATTTTTGTGAATCAAAATTGTTTTTTTTCTAATTCAATGGAGACAATGATATTCTGTAATGTGAATTGTATTTTCAGAAACAAGGGATACAATGGTAACCTGTTAATGTAAACTGTATTTTCTGAATCAAAGGAGACAATAGTATTTGGTAAATGTAAATTGTATGTTCTAAATAAAAGGAGACAAAGGTATTTTGTGAATTTAAATTGTATTTTCTTAATCAAAGTAGACAATAGTATTTTGTGAATAGATTGAGACAAAGGTATTTGGTAAATGTAAATTTAATTTTCTGAACTAAGGGAGACAATTAATGATATAATGTGAATGAAGAGCATTTTCTGCATCAAAGCAGACAATGGTCTATAGGAAATATGAATTGTATTTTTGAATCAAGGGAGACAATTTGTGAGGTTAATTGTATTTTCTGAATCAAAAAAGACACTGGTACGCTGTAAACATTAATTTGGAGACAAAGATATGCTGAAAATGTAAATTGTATTTTCTAAATCAAGGGAGATAATGGTATCTTGTGGATGTAAATTGTAATTTTTAAAATCAAGTGAGACAATGGTATTCTGTGAATGTAAATTGCAATTTCCTAAATCAAAGGAGACAATGGTATATGTAAATAGTATTTTCTAAATCGAAGAAGAGAATAGTATTTTGTGAATGAAAATTGTGATTTTCTAAATCAAGGGAGATAAAGGTATTTTGTTGACTACAAAAAAATTAACTGACCCCAATCATCAGCATATAATGGTACACCACCAGCTGCTGCCACTGAATCTACCAATAACAAACAGTTATATCTGAAAATAAATTATACTCCACTTAAATATGACAATTCAGCATACATTTATGATTGATTTAGGTGAAAATTTATGTCATAACATATTTCATATAACTTTATAACACAGTACAAAAAGGATTGCTGCAAACCATTCATTGATTTTTAATTAAAAAAACACGACAATAATATAATTTCCATCAATCTCTCAAATGAATCACTTTGTAATCATTGACAAAAAAAATAACTATGTACAACACTTGCTGTGGATTTCTTAAGCCAGGAATACAAGATTGCAGTTTTTGCCAATGACTTTGACTTTCGGAACATTTGGTTAGACTATACTTTTGTCTTTTGATGGATATCTTGTTTTGTATTATGCCTTTGGCTGTGGGTTTTACACTTGGAAGGCATTTCTGCATCCCTTATGATGATACAATTTTCCATCTGTTGTTGTATATTGCTTTGTGTTGTTTAAGCACCTACATGTAAGTCTACCTCCATTTTTTCCAAACTAATTTGCAAATCTTTGAAATGAATCACAGGAGCATATAACAACATGAAGCCATTTTGCCACAATCATCATACATTCTATTTAAACTAAAGTTAGCTCCCCTTTTGATAATTTTCAGTTAACATCTAAGCAAGTTCTAAATTTGTCACACAGTATAAATTATTGTCTACAAATCACCAACTGAATAATTCTTAGAAATACTAGCTATAATAAGTAGAAATGTTGTCTACTTTTCTTTACACAGTATCATCTTAATTATATATATATCCTATAATATCCAACCAACCTATGACAAAGTTTTCCTACACCTTCTAATGGTTGTACAGTGGACCCTGATGATTCTCCATGTGTAAGAAACAATAACACTGGTCTATATTTTTTTAGTCCCTAAAAAGGTAATTTTAAAAGTTGGATTCAATTTTAGTTTAGGAATATTTCTTTGAATTGAATGATGGAGGGTAGTAGTTAGAGTAATATTTTTGGACATGGTTTGTATAGTACAGATTGGCTACTGATTCTGAATTTTATGCTTTATGAAATATATTGATTTTCGAATCATTTATAATGACCTATTACTTTCTAAAGTGATCTTTTGATATGTAAATCCAAAAAGTTCTCAACTTTTTACCTCTGAAATCAATTTTGAACCCTTTTTACACTTTTTAAAATATCTTACTTCTTCTATTTCTTGAAGATTAAAAACTTGACCCATTGGTTTATTTATTGTTTGAGCAACTGCACCTGAAAAAGAAAAAAAATATGCTATTCATGAATATACTTATGTAATAATTGCTGAAAAATACTGGAGATTCTTTTATTTTCTGTGCGTACCAATTTTCTTGGATAGAGGAATTATTATATTTTTATGGATATTTGATTTTGTGATTTTGCCAATGTCTTCATACAAGCCTATATAAATTTGTACTTGTTTAACATTTAATAATTTGTACTTCATCTGTAACCAAGGTATCTACGAAAATTGGTATCCAACGAAAAATAAGGAAACCACAGTAAATGGATGGCAAGTTAACCAAGGCATATATCTTAAAAATTGCTTTCAACAATAATTTTGATACAAAATTTCAGCAGCATCTATTAAATGTTAATTTTGCCTATACTGAAGGTCTTTTCAGTTTGATCAGCTCTTCAAAATTTGTATTAGGTTTTGGATTTTTAAATATTTTGGACCTGGTGCATCACAGAAGAGACATTAATTGTCAAAATGTGTATCTGGTGATGTAAAATTGGTACCATCAATGTTATTAATAAATATCTAACATTTAAGACTCTATGAGTAACATTTCTCAAATAAACAAACCATTTCTTCGTGCCATGTCAGCATATCTTTCTCCCCATAATCCATTTACACATGCAAGAGTAGTCTCCCCAGGTTCAAGTAAGTTACAAACTGCTGCTTCCATTGCTGCATGACCTAAATGATAAAAGACAATGAGAAATAAGTTGACATTTTTAATAAGAGATGTGTCAATTTTCTTCCTTTTATTTGTTGATTTTCCTTGTGTAATATATATATACTAAGAGTATCTTGTATAAAATATTGTGAAAATATGACTCCTGACAAAAATAAATCTTAAGTTCCTTTAACTATATTTAATACATCAACATTTTACCAATTAATCTACATAAATAAAAGTGAATGGAGATGATACATTAATGAGACAGCAACCAAATGGTACATAACCAAAATATGTCTAGAAGAAAAGATATAACAGAAAGGTGTTTACACAACGTGGCAAGCTCTAAATCATTCTTAGTCTTTAAAACTTATGAAAAGTTGTGAATAATTCAGTGTTCTCCCTTTCCTATAATTAGGAAAAAGTATTTGTGTAGCCTCTTCCTCTCCTCTTCTAAAATCAGGTCAAAGTATTTATGTGGCTCCTTCTTCTCCTTTAAATACTAGGCACAAGTGTGTTTGTGTGGCTGATATTTTTTGTGATCAATTGGTCAATTACCAACCATACTTTTAAATAATAAAAAGCTTTACACATGGCAAATAACAGAAAAGATTCTGTAAAACAAGTTGCTTTAAGAATGGTTATGTAGTAACTGTTTATCATATATCTTTTGTTATACAAACCTGTTCCTGATACACATACAGTCCAATTATTTCTAGTCTGAAATAAATATCTTGTTCCTTCTTTGACTTCGTCCATTATCTACAATCATTTTAAAAAGGTCTAATATTTTGCTTATAATACAGTTAGGCTGTACATCATTTTGTACATCACTCTACATGTAAATTACATAAATATGTAAAGGTTTTTACAAATATACACCTGAAATGTTAAAATTCTTGCTGGGAAAATAAACATGATAAAAACATAACAAATAAAACTATAGCGGCTCTAAAGGGCCTGTGTAGCTCACCAGTACTATGTCCATCTTCAATATTGTAGACTAGATTAGAATTCATGACTAAAATCTCTTTTTGGTTGATCATGTTCTTTGATCATTTTAACTGTTTACAGTTTCTCTCAAGCATCTATATTTTTGCCTAAAGCCAAAAAAAGGTAAAATTGTCATTTAAGAGCAATTTATGCAGGACATGCAACTCCTATAAGCATGATAAGGAGTTGGCTGACAATTTCAGCTGTATTGACCATTTTGCAGTATCCAGTTCTTCTCTTTCCACCAAAAAGAAATAAACATGGTAAAAATCATTATTAAAGGGCAATAACTCCAACAATGCAATACTGTTTTTCTTAAATTGTCATTTTAAAAAGGTCAAGGAACAGTACAGTGTGTTGCTAAATTTGGTAAAATTTGCATAACTTTAGTATTTTGAACTATAACTGATTATGGAGAAAAAATTAATGCTTTTTTTCTACATATTTCAAGGTAGTAATAATGGACTACATGTAGCTGTTTGGATATTTCTGTCAGATCGAATTCTTTCAAAACAGGTGAACAATTGTATATATATATAAAGCACATAAAAGTGGCAACATTTTGTTCTTTAATTTATCTCAGAATCTTCAAATCTCCATATATTTTCTTAAAAAATTTTATGCTTGTAATTTCATATTTTGGCCTTCAAGTCCTGTGTTTTGAGATGGTCCCTAAGGCTAAGTTGACAGTAATATGTCAAGATAAACAAACTTGCAATCTGATACTCACTGATATGGATGATAAAATTTAGGATGTTTAAATAAATTTTACATGATCGTATGAAAGCATGTGAAACATTTAGAATACACTTTCCATGTCCAGAATCTAGCACATGTTTGATGTCAAAATATAATCACCTTAGTAAATTCGGGATGCAAATGTCCAAGCATTGGTAACGCAGAAGCACTTAAAATCCGTGGAGAACTATTTGAAGGTCCTGGTCCCATTAGAAGCTTCTGAGGAATTACCATTGGCCTCAGAAGACTTTGTGGGGGATTTGAAACAGAACTCATCTTTGACTTTGCTATTCTGAAACGACAAGTTCTTGTTTTGCACAAAACATTCAAAACAATCCCGGTATGGGGACGAAAAAGAATACGTAGTTTTTCCATTATCTCATATTCCAGTGATCACAAAAACAGTACTTTTATACTTCTTTTCTTAAAAAGTAAAGAACAACTTAACACACGATTTATAAGTCTATTCTCTTCAGGTAAACGTCCACGATTTCATAGTGATCAATTTTCACTGTATCAAATTAAAAATTTTGTGGGTCAAGGTAGATAGGAAGACTAGAAGACACAATGTTTATCTCTATTTAAATTCATGTTTATTTTAGAAATTCATCTCTGATATGATATAGTGGTGTGCCTTTAAGATTTCATAAGAGGAAATATCGAAAGGAAGAAAAATTCATGATAGAAAGATCGTCTTGTTAAGTCACGATTAACATTTTTGCTTGAAGCCATCCGCTATGAATGTTGCCTGATTTGAGCTGGGACCTTATACAATAGGTCACAAATTTTATCAAATGATTGTTTTATCCATGTGCCACACTTTGAAGTCATGATATAGATATGGATATACAGTTAAGTTAAAAAAAGAACAGCATAGAGCGGAATGGAATGGGATAAATCATATCACGGGGATCATGATGAAATGGAAATAGATGGGATCTGTGACTAATAAGTGATACGTCATATATTATTCCTAGTTGGGATGGGATTTGACGAGGGTGGGAAAGTGAATTGATGTAAAAATGGAGTGGAATTGATTGGAATGGGAATGGGAATGGAATTAATCGGAATGATGTTAGATGGAAGGTCCAGAATAGAACACAACCAAATCTTTCACTCTGCTCCATTCAGTTATATGTTGCGCTTTCAGGGAGATTTCGTGCTAGTCATTTCTCGAAAGTAGAACAGGGGTAACTCATTTTCAAATGCTATTTTCTTTGTCATCCAATCATTGCAAATTATGTAAGGTGAAATAAAACGGTCGCTTACTTTAATACTAAGATTAGGTTGGGGAAAAACATCATCAAACATACCATGCGCGCTTATACTGATTTTGTACGCCAGACGCGGCGCGCGTTTCGTCTACACGAGACTCACCAGTGACACTCAATTAGTTAATTAACATTGTTGTTGGACATTTATTTAATTATCGGCATCAATGTTCTAAAAAATATACGTCAATTAAAGAATCATACGACAGAAAACTCTACACGTACTTATTTAAGTTATAACCTTATTCAAACGAGGTAAGTAAATGTAGTAAGTCAGCTGGATAAACCTGAAGATGTTTACGGTGTAACTTTCGAGAGTCAAAGATTACATTGAGTCAGTGGTGTGGGAGAACATGTGTGCCGGGGCGTCCTTGCCGGTAAGATTTTTATTCGACTCCGTACGGTGGTATATCCACCGTATCAGTTAAACAAAATTATTTGTAAATAATTTAATTTTGGATGTAACACGTCTTCTGATTGGCTGAAAGTGTTTTGTCTATCAGCTCATAGACATAGTTTTGTCATGTGACCGTGACGTCATCAACGTTGTTTTCAAAATTTACTCCTTAAAAATGGAATTTAGAATTAAATTATAAGGAACTTTTAAATAACCCGCTACGCGAGTTATTCAGTGTGCACCACATTTTTGATGTTATTTCTTCATAGACAGAAAAAATATTACAGTCATTCCTTAAATAACTGCATGAGCCTTTATTTAGATTTTTTGATATATTGAGAAGTTGGCCAAGAACATCTAAGCACGAAAAAATAAAATGCAGTCCCTTTTCAACTCATTAACTTTAAAAAAATCATTGACAGAAATGATGAATCTATGTAGAAAGCATTTTAAAAACTATACAAAATATCATAGACAAAAGAGTACCGACAAAAATTACTCAAAGAAGACACACCCATCCATGAATAATATGAAAAAAATCAGAAACAAAAAGCACACTAGCAGGCCAGAAAAAAAAAGAGATATGGATAGACAATGAGTCTTTAAAAAATAATGGTTAGTCAGACAAGCTAACGAAACCCTGACGGAAGTCAGCACCAATTATAAAAACATCTAAAAAAAATAGTCCTACACCAAAAGCAAATTAAAGACAAAAATAGAAAGAAGTAGCACCGTTTAAGAAGAAATTGGAATTTCTACAGCGTTAAAACAAGAGCAAAGCTGAAATGATCAATGAATAATTCCAGTCCAGTATTGACAAAGTAGAACCTAAATAACATTCCCAGCAAAGGAAAAGGGCATAATCTCGCCTGGAGGGTAGTTGTCTCTATGCAGTCCCTGTACTCTCTGATTACAACGTAAAGATCCTCTTCATTATTAACCTATTTGGAACTTGTTGTAACGCTGCCTGGTAGCACTACTGTGTGCAACGTCTCACATGTCGACGTCACCCTTTTTGATTATGCAAAAGCAAAGTGTCGCACGCCCCCATCACCTATTACACAAGCTAGAATACAATGGTGTCAACCATAAAACCAACAGTTTGATTCGCTCTATTAATGAGAGCAGAAAGCAAAGCATTGTATTAGAAGGATCTGTCTCTACGCATGCAAATCCATGTAATCCGCTCGAAAACCAACTACAGTCATCTCTTTCTAACGATACAAAATAAGCCGAGCGATCACTGTAGAGTCTGTAGTCTCGGAAACTAAGTTAGTTGCAGACTCCTGTCATCTCTTTCGAACGTTACAAATTAAGCCAAAGATCGATCTTTTGAAGAAAGACCTAACATCACTGGATGGTTGGGAGAACAATAATTGTGACAAATGAACAACGCCAAAAAAAAAATACTTTTTAGTCTCATTGCCTACTCCACTGCTTATCAATGCGCCTTTTTAATTGTTTTGAATCGAGCGTTACTGATGAGTCTTTTGTAGAAGAAACTCGTGTCTGGAGGTTTTTTTACAGCAACCAGCACTCCTCCATATATCCTTCTGATCGGTTTTTCACGTATGTTATGTAATCAGGTGACATAACTCTTATGATGTAACACTTACCCAAGTTTCACAAACCTTGTATGTGAAAATAAGATTAATTGTCTCAACAAGATCCAGAAGACTTTTGTGAAATCGACTCCAGTTGTTCAGTGGTTGTCGTTTGTTGGTGTGGTTCATAAGTGTTTCTCGTTTTTTATATAGATTAGACCGTTGGTTTTCCTGTTTGAATTGTTTTACACTAGTCATTTTGGTGCCCTTTATAGCTTGCTGTTCGGTATGAGACAAGGCTCCGTGTTGAAGGCCGTACTTTGACCTATATTTTTTTTACTTTTTATACATTTTGACTTGAATGGAGAGTTGCTGCTCCAACAGAGTTATAAAGAAGAATTACCGAACTCGGCACTACATACGTTTTGAGGTCACCATCCAAAATTGGTTGACCGATACGATGTTGGTGTCTCAAATCACTAGCGACTTGTTTTGGCGATGATGCCAATAGTCTTCCGATCTGTAATTTAGCCGAGTCTTCCGATCTGTAATTTAGCCGAGTATGTCCTATTACCGATTGTGACATTTTGACTGTGTGGGAATTCGCATAATGGGTGATGCATAGCAGGAGACGCCTACCCAGTCGACGCACCGGTCTCACTCCTTTTGGAGTTCTTGCGTTTCCATCAGTTTTTGTTTGTTACCTTGATTTGTCTTTTTTAATCCATTTACACGATTTAAACATTGGTAAACTACTAAGTTGTATAGGCATGGTACGAAATCGTAGTCGCTTAAGCATTTGATAGAGGTGACTCTGTAAGGTAATGACAGTCTGTTAATGAGGAATATTTCAAGTGCTGTTTCTTCTCTCGTCATGGAGTTAATAACTTGACTGAGTCAACAGGCTTAATTGAGGTTGATAAATTGTTTTGCTATCTTGTTTATATATAGTTATTACTCAGTAAACCGACCGTTTTCCAGTCTTTATCCGATACGTTTTCATCTCCTGTAATCCATATTGTTGATGACTTAAACTTTTCATGAGTGTATGCATTGTCGTTGCTTAATGTGGCGATATGCTTAATGTGCCAGTTTGGCTGACGTTGAAAGGAATCAATGATAAGTGACGATTTGCCATCTCCTTCTAGCTGTACTGCTGTTAATTCACTGTTTGTCTCATTGCCTACTCCACTGCTTATCAATGCGCCTTTTTAATTGTTTTGAATCGAGCGTTACTGATGAGTCTTTTGTAGAAGAAACTCGTGTCTGGAGGTTTTTTTACAGCAACCAGCACTCCTCCATATATCCTTCTGATCGGTTTTTCACGTATGTTATGTAATCAGGTGACATAACTCTTATGATGTAACACTTACCCAAGTTTCACAAACCTTGTATGTGAAAATAAGATTAATTGTCTCAACAAGATCCAGAAGACTTTTTGGATCTTGTTCTCTGGAAGTTTATGATAAGTATCTTCAAAATATAGTTAAGCGAGTTGTCGACTTGCTGTGGTGGTATTTTGCTTTTTGATGAAGATTTTACAAGAGGATCGCCAATATTGTCACAACTGAACGATGATGTAGTATCTGTTAGCGTGTCAAAGCGATTCGTTAAAGGGTTAAAATAAACATTTCTAAAATTGTGCAAATCGTACGAACAACATAATTATTAATGACGGTAATTATAGACCACTGGTTCAACATACTCTTGATTTTGGTTTTGATAATGAAGTGTATATTACGGGTGTTCGTATTCATACGATTTGAATGCAATGATACCATCCTTCACAATTAAAGTATGCAACAACTTTTTGATTACATCGGACAGTTTTGCTACAGATCATTCGTGGATACTTTGGTATTTGTTTGGTTCTGAGGACTGTCATTTAGTTTCCGAAAACCTGGATCGAAAGCACAGATCATATGCTCTCTACCAGTAACGTTAAACGGCTGAGATACAATCCCATGAGACAAATTATGAACGGATAATCCGTTCATATATATTAAACCCGTTTATGTTGCAATATGATACTCCTCTATTCTTATTTTCTTATAGGACATCATATATAAACTGCTGTTGTAAAATTGTACGGATAAGAGCAAGAATAGTGAAAATAAGAAAAAAATATTTAAGAATATTTACTACAAATTAAAATACATAAAAAATAATATTCAGACAAAGGGGATACATTCCCCCAAGAACCTGTGTTGTAGTGCAGATATATCTATTGTTTCTCTATTGTCCAATGTCAATCAATACAGTTCATTGTATTTATTGTATGAGGGAAGCTTCTCATACTCTTTCCAAACTTAGTTTATATTGGCACCCGATGATATGATGGAACGAAAACAAAATGCAAGGCATAATTCGAGTAAGTTTAAAATACTTTGATCGGGTGTCTTTTTCTGAGCATCGCTTATAGTAAAAACGTCTTACCAAGTATCATTCAATAAACAACAGAAACATATAAAACTTGGGTTTTTCTCATTGTTGAAGGCCGTACGGTTGCCTATAATTGCTTACATCCACTTCATTTGAACTTTGGTGGATAGTTGTCTCATTGGCCATCATACCACATCTCCTTATTTTTATATTGATATGTTATAAGGAATAAACTATCAAAACATTAAGTATTTTTAAGCGTATTTAGAATTTTCAGAAATAATCATTTTAAAATCAAGGGCAGATAATTATATCGAATTTGATAGTACAATTTATTTTTACTTTTCAACAAATTAAGACCCGTGATTAAATTAATTTTCCCCTATATAATATCTGTGATTTCGTTAATTTCGATGTATTTTTAGATATATAGAAATTTGAAAGAATATTGACCCAAAAGTCTTTTACAGAAGTCTAAGAAAAATCTGTCGTCGAACATTTAAACACCCCGGCCAGCTATCTTGATGATGTCTCTCGCTGAATACTTTAAAGTTTGGTAACTATGTTGAATTAACTCGTCTATCCTATCGAACTGGAAATAAAGGATACAACACATACGATTAAGTTTGCCTCAAATATTGACTTATACATATAGAAATTGACAATGAGTATAAAAATAAGGAGGTGTGGTACGATTGCCAATGAGACAACTATCCACCAAAGTTCAAATGAAGTGAATTTTATCCACGGAGGGAGGGGTTACTTCCTATTAATTGGTATACGGGGATGTGCCAAAAATATGGGTCATAATTTTGCGAGGTTTTATATAAAAATGACCCTCCTTTTTAATGACATCCTATATTAAGATGCATTTATGTGTTTGATAACTGTATGTTGATTTGGGGTATGATCTACATATCATATGATATATAAATATGCTATTGAGAATCTTACATTTATTAATGGTCAATTATTATATTAAAATATATGTGCACCAAACACGCTGTCAATTCATATATAAAAACTTAAGGGTAGCTGTATATTTACGAGTTATGAGTGATGATATATTATATTTAGTGCTTATATAAGCATGGGTCATATTTTAAATATTGTATATAAGAATAGGTCATCCTTACTTAAATATTTATATAACTATAGGTACCGAATTTCAGTCGGAATGTTATATTAAAAATGGGTACGTTTTTTTAGGCAAAAATGGCACACCCCTTCCAAAAAAGTATCGAAATACCCCCCCCACCGTGGGTTTATCTAAACAAAACGTTTACAACAACAGATAGGATTTTGAACAGCTTTCTAATTCGGCTTTCATGATGTAGCAACACAGGCACTTGTCTCAGAAAAAAAAATATTCCTATATACCTTAATATAACATATACTATATATTAAGGTATATAGGAAATTTTTTTTCTGAGACAAGTGCATGTGTGTAGCAACATTCCAGCAGCGCCTATCATGAGCCACTTCAATACTTAATTGACAGGGGTGTCACTGGGGTCACGTCTAGCTTGTTACCCCATCCTTTTCATATAATTTAGATTTTATATTGCGTGGGTAAAAATGTAACCTTTTCCAAGGATTTGTATAATGAGTCGTTATACAAATCCTTGCCTTTTCCCATATTTTCCGGCAAAATGGAGAACTATCACCTTTGATTGGGGCTCAGATCTGAGGCTCAGATTCCGCTTACAAAGGCGGACCCAGGGGGTCCTGGGGGCCCGGTCCCCTTTTGTGGGAATAAGTTGGTTGATTATTTAGGGAATCACTGAAGCATGACTGGAGCGGCCCCTCTTAGGTCAGTCAGTGCCCCCTCCCCCTTATAAAAAGTTCTGGATCTGCCACTGGCTTATGGAATGTTTACCTACGGCTGTGAAAAAAATTACAGGGCTTTTCATCTGGGACTATTATACTAGTATAATAGTCCCAGTTTTCACATAACAAGTAATGAGGGGCCTGATGGGTTATTTTCGTTCTTCGTGATCGGCGCATTTTCGCTATCGTGATCCGTTTTTCCACAGATTTTTTTTTTTTATATTTTCGTGATCCGTGATCATGGAAATTTATTTTTTGTGAATCGTGATTGACAAAAAAATCAACTCGTGAATCGTGATGAGACCCCCCCCCCCCCCCCTCAGGCCCCTCAGTAATGGAACTTTATTGACCTTTTTATTTCTGATAGTTTTCCACACCTGAGTCACACCTATATTCACATACCGTGATTTTGTATATTCAAGCTGCGGCACGTCCTATCACCTTGAATAAGAAGTATTGTAAGAAACTAGATCTCTACATTTTTGAAGCAGTAATATATATTTCAAAAGACCCGCTTCAAAAACTTATTGCAGGTTTTCTGAACCAATCAGATCAACGTTTACAAAGTTCCATTTGCTGCTCCTGTGACTTCCGTTTTACTTTTATTTTTGACAGGTAAAGAAAACAATATAACATTTCACGTATGAGGGTTAGATACAAAAATTCGGACCGGTATATCATGCATGACTTATTCTTTGACATTTACACAAGGAATAGACCAGAGACTGACATGTTATGCCTAATCCCTTTTCCGTAGACAGCTCTGACCCCCAGAATCCCATTATAGAAATTATAGAAATGAACTCTGTCCAATAGTATACTGAAGATTCTACCACTACCAGTTTATAGATATTTTGGGGAAGGAGATATGTGCCAAGCAACTGGCATAACGTGTTCTTATTTGCTCATTAGTAATCAAAACGATTATGATTGGTTCGAACTCATGTGTGTATACCCCCAAAATTACTTCTAAAGTTGAGGATAAAAGCTTTAAGGGAGCCCTAGATTGAGACATTACACTCATTATTGGGTCGGTTTTTTCACCACCGAATACCACCACACACCACCGAACACCCAAAAAGACAACTAACCCTTAAGAAAAACAGTAATGTTACGCAATAAAACAATGAAATCGATTAAATTACGTAAAATTTGATCCTATTTTCATGTTTTTCACATTTAACTGTGCATTAGTGATGTTAAAGTTGAGAATCAAAATTAAAAAAAAACGCTTCCGGATCCAGCAATATTTTTTCCGGATTTACATTGTCTGTATTTCATTGTATATTATCTTATGGTCTTTACTTTTCAGTTATTAGAAATAAATCGTTCAAATAAGTTAAAACATTTTATTTAATGTGAAATTATCACAATAATTATATTTAAAAAAAAGTTAGACTTTAAAGTGTACCTTTCTGACAAAAGCCCTGCAAGACTGTTCTTTTTGGTTCTCTTGTTATCATTTCTTATTAATTTGTGTATATATATGTCTAAACATATTCATCCTCGTTCAGAAGGTAAGTCAAATATATAAATAAAGATGAAAACAATATATTTAGGTGTGTTCGGTGGTGTGCGGTGGTGAAAAGACCTACCGCTCATTATTATTTTTTTTTATCCAAACTCTGTAAGAGGCATCATTTAAGCAATCAAAATAATGGCCTTCTTTTACTTTTAGTGGTCCCACAACCTATATACAAGCCAATAGGAAACCATTAATAAATCAATATGCTTGGTTCATATCATTTTCATTACCAGAATTTGTTTACTGTATTCTGATTTCTGACATCAATTACATTTGTAGATCTTTTATGGGCAAACTGGATCCCTGCATCCTTGACCTTACAAGGTCATTATGCCCACTTAACATTTTATAAGGATTCATCTTGACTCTTTGGACATTATGTAAGCCTACCTGTAGATATATACTAATTTAATATCAGATTTGTCTAAGACGTGAGTTGGAAATTATCCTAATGAAGATATTCATCCCTTTGCTCAAAGTATATCTGTACTGACATATATGTTATGCTCAAGTTCAACTATCCCACAAATGACATAATCTAACATCATCGAAATTCAATGCAATTTCTTTGAAAGATAGATTTAAATCAGGCATACATGTATTAGAATAAAATGTGTTGATAGTTTGTCTTTTACTTTAGATGTTACAACATATGAAACTCTTATTCTACAGCAAAGACAACATATTTATATGTGTTTTCCATTGATGCATATCATTGCAGTTTTAACAGACACAAAACATTGTAAAAAAATACAATCTTTTTTAAACATCATGAACACAGTAAACATGGTAAATTGTGATGTTTAAGCCCAGCTGCCTCAATCCTCAATTTTGGTTATTTGACTCCCTAAGGTGAGAGTGCCATTTCTTTTAAGATCAATCAAAAAGAAATATTATGTCTGTGCAATCTGGAGATAGTTTTTATAATTATTTGACAATTAAGAGTTAGTTTTTTATATGTACATATTTTTTTTCTAACATGTATTTGAACAGTTTTGTTTGAGGGGAAAATTAGTGCAAAATTATGATATCTGACTGTATTTATTATAAGGTGTATAAGTATAATAGTATATCTAGATTTACATTGTATGCTTTTTGACTGTTATCCCTCTAACATGTCATTTGGCCTTTTGCTTTGAAATTTAGTTAAGTCAGTTCTAGAGTTAGTACTTACATACATATAAAAATTAGGAGATGTGGTATGATTGCCAATGAGACAACTATCCACAAATTATAGGCAACCGTACAAAATAATTGCTTGAACTGATCTGTCTTCAAATATTCTTCTCTAGCAAACTTTACAACTATACAACCTTTGTGTAGAGTTAGTGAAGCTGTACACAATGATTTGAATAATTTAGAGATATATCTACTAGGAGTACTGGGCATGCTGGGGGTGTTACATTTAAATCCCTGACATCCCTCTTACACAATGTTTGTTTCTTCCAATCACTCTTCTCAACAGTTTAATAATTTTGGATATTTTAGTACATGCAAATCTTATTTCATACAATCAGTTCAGACTATATTTCAAGTTAATACTTGTCTCTTTAAGTGTTATTCTTAAACTCAAGCCAAACAAATTGTCTGATTTAAAAAAAAGACATTATGTTATATCTGGTAGAATGTATTTCCATAACAAAATTTCAAATACAAATGAATTAAAATCTTCAATTTTTTTTCTGTAAACTTGCATGTACTCATTCCTGAATATTAAAAGGTATGTATAGTTTGCATAGACTTATTCTCTCCTGTGCTGCTCATGATCAGTCATTGTCAATTGTGAAAATGGATGGAAATCATTGCCCTAACTGAAGAGAAGCAAAGACATTGGTCATTATCAGTATGAAATAATAAGTTCAGTGTATTTGGGTTAAATCATGATGGATGTATTACCATGATTACACTTATGCTTAACTGTTAACACCAAATTGCTTTTAATCAGGAAAGGTGAAACATCAATATAATCCTACTTATGTAAAATTTGATATTATCATTTAATTACAGATGTGTGAGGCTACACCTTATTGAATATGGCGACAGAGTCTGATGGTAAAATGCAGGTAAGATATGCATATAAATCATGTATGATCAATGTTTTTATTTTGCATGTTCAGTTAATGCAATTCGAATGAAACTTTATTACAAGTTCACATGCTGAAAATCAAATTTCTCTTTAGAAGAAATAAAAAAAAAATCATTCTTCAAAATTAACTGCTCTATTTATCATGTTTATTTCCAAAAAAAACTGGTCTAGTGTCATCAATGGAAACAAGTTAATTTTGAGCAAATTAATTAACTCTTCAATTTTTTAGATGTTTCTAGTATACTGTGATCTTGTAAGATTCCTTTTTTTAAAGGTTTTAACAATTTTTTTTTAATACGTAGATTTTGTTAGAAGGTGATTCCAAGGAAATTTTGATACAGATTTTGATTTTGCTTATTTAACTTGTAGATCTATATAAACAAATATATGTATCTCTGTTCATTCAGAGCATGCAGAGGTCAAGCCAGTATTGAATTTTGAACTGAACTGAAATAAGAGTAATTTGGTTTCAATATGTAAGAATTTTTGGCAATTTTTAATTTTTATGACAGTTATGGATCACTATTTCTGGTCAGTCTTATTGAACAAAAAATGATTGTAAACTTGAGGTTTAATTTCCCCTGGCCTGATATCATGTTCCTGAATTTGCATGAAATATTTGCCACTTGACATTAAGCAATCAATCAATTTCAAGATACCAACTACAAAAAGTATTGATATTTTCAAGTTCAATCTTTTTATCACCAATAAAATTTAAGAATTATTGAGTGATATAGAAATTGTTTCACCTTTTTCATGTTGGGAACTTTTATAGCTGACTATACAGTATGGGTTTTTCTCATTGTTGAAGGCCTTACAATGACCTATATATTATGCTTAAATATCCACATCATTTGAACTCTGGTGAATAGGGTGGATAGTGAATAATTGTTTTATTGGCAATCATACAACATCTCCTCTCCTCATTATACGACCGCAAAAAAATTTTTGTGGTCGTATATTGGTATGACGTTGGCGTCGTCGTCGTCCGGCGTCGTCGTCGTCGTCGTCGTCGTCGTCCGGCGTCGTCCGAAGACACATTGGTTTTCGCACTCTAACTTTAGTTTAAGTGAATGGATCTTTATGAAATTTTACCACAAGGTTCAATACCACAAAAGGAAGGTTGGGATTGATTTTGGGGGTTATGGTAATAACAGTAAAGGAATTAGGGGCCAAAAAGGGGCCAAAAATAAGCATTTTTGTAACTTCCAGACATAACTTGTGTGTTAGTGTATGGATCTCTCTGACATTGTACCACAAGGTTCCATATCACTAAAGGAATGCTGGGATTGATTTTGGGGGTAATTGCCTCCAAATTTTAGGAATTAGGGGCCAAAAAAGGGGCAAAAAACAAGCATTTTTCTAGTTTCATGACAATAACTTGTGTGTAAGTGTATGGATCTTTCTGAAATTGTACTACAAGGTTCCATATCACAAAGGGAAAGCTGGGTTTGAGTTTGGGGGTAATTGCCCTAAACGTTTAGGAATTTGGGGCCAAAAAGGGGCCAAAAAACACATTTTTTTCTAGTTTCCAGACAATAACTTGTGTTCAAGTGTATGGATCTCTCTGAAATTGTACTGCAAGGTACCATACCACAAAGGGAAGGCTGGGATTGAGTTTGGGGGTGATGAATCATAATGGGGGTTCAAAAAATTTTGGGGGGGGATTTATTTTTTTTTCCTTTTTTTCTTTTTTTCCTTTTTGTTTCTTTTAAAATTTTCCATTTTAAGTTGGTTATTTCTGATTTATATTTAAAATCAAATAATAATGATATGGTAGGAGATACACACCAAACAGGATGTGTAAATTATTATATAATAAGTATTGTGCAATAGCAAGAAATTTTCAATTGCACAGTATTGCACAATAGCAAGAAATCTTCAATTGCACAGTATTGCGCAATAGCAAGAAATCTTCAATTGCACAGTATTGCGCAATAGCAAGAAATATCCAATAGCACAATATTGCGCAATAGCAAGAAATTGTCAATTGTACAGTATTGCGCAATAGCAAGAAATATTTAATAGCACAGGATTGTGCAAAAGAAGATACTTCCTATAAATTGCTTATTTCTTGATCAATTTCAATGGGGTTTTATTCTTGATTTCATGGGGTTCTTTAATATGCTGAATCTAACCGTGTATTTAGTTTTTGGATTTTGGGCCCCGTTTTTAAATTGGTCCACATTGAGGTCCAAAGGGTCCAAAATTAAACTTTGTTTGATTTCATCAAAAAATGAATTATTGGGGTTCTTTGATATGCCGAATCTAACTGTGTATTTAGATTCTTAAATTTTGGTTCCGTTTTCAAATTGGTCTACATTAAGGTCCAAAGGGTCCAAAATTAAACTTAGTTTGATTTAAACAAAAATTGAATTCTTAGGGTTCTTTGATATGCTGAATCTAAACATGTATTTAGATTTTTGATTATGGGCCCAGTTTTCAAGTTGGTCCAAATCGGGGTCCAAAATTAAACTTTGTTTGATTTCAACAAAAATTGAATATATGGGGTTCTTTGATATGCTGAATCTAACCATGTATTTAGATTTTTGATTTTTGGGCCCCGTTATCAACTTTGTCCACATTGAGGTCAAAAGGGTCCAAAATTAAACTTTGTTTGATTTCATCAAAAATTGAATTATTGGGGTTCTTTGATATGCCGAATCTAACCGTGTATTTAGATTCTTAATTTTTGGTTCCGTTTTCAAATTGGTCTACATTAAGGTCCAAAGGGTCCAAAATTAAACTTAGTTTGATTTTAACAAAATTGAATTCTTAGGGTTCTTTGATATGCTGAATCTAAACATGTATTTAGATTTTTGATTATGGGCCCAGTTTTCAAGTTGGTCCAAATCGGGGTCCAAAATTAAACTTTGTTTGATTTCAACAAAAATTGAATATATGGGGTTCTTTGATATGCTGAATCTAACCATGTATTTAGATTTTTGATTTTTGGGCCCCGTTATCAACTTTGTCCACATTGAGGTCAAAAGGGTCCAAAATTAAACTTTGTTTGATTTCATCAAAAATTGAATTCATGGGGTTCTTTGATATGCTGAATCTAACCATGTATTTAGATTTTGGATATTGGACCATAATAGGTGAATGTCCAATTTAAAATTTTTAAGTTCTTAGACCACATTCAATCTGTGTTAGAAACCTATGCTGTGTCAAATATTTAATCACAATCCAAATCCAAAGCTGTATCAAGCTTGAATGTTGTGTCCATACTTCCCCCAACTGTTCAGGGTTCGACCTCTGCGGTCGTATCAAGCTGCGCCCTGCGGAGCATTTTATTTTTATATTGATATAGAAACTGAATAAGAAAAAAATATAAAAATCCTTAAGGCAATGTTAATTTGAACTAAAAGTTAAAGGAATATAGATGTACAAAATATCATTAAATGCATTTCCACAGGTACACAATTGTACAAAGTGCTAATTAACATAGTAAATGTTGCAGATCAAGGATGACTACTTACTTCCTGTTATACATAATTCAAGTAGTCATAATATTTAACAGACTATATTGATTATGCCATTCCTGCAATAGTAGAGGGTGTGGATGGGGTTAACAGAATAGACATTGAAATGATTGATAGAGAATAATGGACCAACACACATGAAGATTAAAGAAAAACAATCTAAAATGTACAGAAATGAAGACCCCCCCACCCTAATCCAAACCCTCATAGTAGGGAGGACTATGTTTTCTGTTCTCTGCTTCGGTCTTTTATTCCATTCGTCTGTCTGGTATTAAGTTCAAGATTGTGAGTTGATGTAGTTAACCAGGAAGTTGAGGTCACATCAACTTGACACTTAGTGCACATTTTCATTATGATATGAACTTTTAAAAGTATCATATATATATATAAGTTTTTTAAACTAATTGTTAGTGTACAGTTTTGCCCATGATCCCCTGGTTTACTGAGCATAGAATTGTGATTGTGTGAAACCAGTTCATTTTTAAGGTTAAAGTTCTAGTTTATCAGGTATCCAGTATCGGGTTCAAGTTTTTGGTTAGGATAGTTTACCAGGAAGTTGATGTCACATTAACTTGAAAATTAGTGCAAGATGTTGATTATGAACTATTAAAATTATACGCCAAATTATAGTTTTGACCCCGGTTTCACAGTTCACTGAACATGGACATAGGATAGTGCGGGCAGGGCATGCTGTCCTACATACAAATTTTCTTATTATGATACAGTTCATTCAGATCGTTGTTTTTTCTGCTGAAAATTAATAAACGTAAATGAAAAGAGATATTGGGGACATTTCAGTGAGACAGAAACCCAACAAAAGATATTTGATATTTTTAAATGCATATCATTGTTTCCTTTGTAAATTAGATGAAGAATATTTGAAGATTTACTTGTCTTCATGTAACATTAAACAACATGTAAAAAATCAGACAAAGTATAACATGTACAATTAATATGTTTTCTAGATTTTAAAGCACATTTGTAGTAAGCTGAAAGTCAAAAATAGAAAACAGAGTTTCCATTATTAGCAAAATTTTGATTGATAAATGTAGATGCCAAAATGTAGAAGACGAGGACTAAATTAACTGGCAGTCTTCTTACAAAAAAACTATACCATAAAATTTAACCTTTTTTTTAAATTTTTATTACAGTTTTATATATATATATATAGTTAATATATTCAATTCAATTCAATATTTTATTTACATCTCACCTTATGCATAAAATTAATACAATACAATTATAAAAGATACATTTTGTATATACATAAGCCAATCTGTACAGATTTATGAAAGACGATAACAACTAAAACAACATGTATATGTACATTAATAAATATTAAACATGAATGGTAAAATTATACAGCATAATTATTTATTTATTATAAATTTACAATATAAACCTTCTCAGCGTCTTTTCAGAATAAAATTACAAGTTTTGGCACATAATCTTATAATATCTTGATTTCGAAAATAAAAATACCATATATTTA